TTTCGAATTTTGTCACTTCAGCTAACTGAACAATTACACAATTCGAATCTTCAATCAGAAAAAGAATTTGTTAGCCAAGCCCAACAATTACGCGAAGAGCAGGACGTAGCTACAACAACACAATTCAATCAAGGAATATCAACAGCCGAAGAAGAAGAAAATTATGGTGAAGGACAAGATGCAGAATTTTTTAATCCAATGAATTCGTTTATTATTATCGATCTGCCATGGCCACGAGCAACCGAAGGACACAAAGGAAAATGAAGACGTTTAAAAAAAGAACGATTCGTACTATTCATATTATAATTATAGAAATTTTCATATAATCAGCATTATCTTCTTTTCTGTAGAGACAAAAACTATAATGTTTGTTTTTTTAGTTTAGTGGCTTTCTCATAGTTTCTTTTTCAAATAGTCAATACAAACATATATGCATGAATATACATACTGCTTTTTTTTTGGTTTTTTGTTGTTATCGAAAAACTCATTTCCACAAAATCTCTGTTTCTTCCTTGTAAACTATAGAGCTGTAAGAAAAACTGAGAAAGTCAACTTCGAACTCTACTAACCATTCGACGCAAGGAAAATTTCTTGTGAACCTTTTGCTGCACAGATAATTCGTGACGGGAAACCCATCGCGCGCTATTCATCCTTGCGAGAATGAGCCGCTAGTCATTCTACCTACAGACACACTGTCCAAGACTCTTCATCTTGGATTCTTTGTTGCAGGAAGCCATTGCCGGTGGCCATTCATCCCACTAACCGCTTATTGCATATAAATCAGCGTAAATAATTTGTCATGGGCTTTTCGCCTCAGAACAGTTCGCTGCGACTTCTACGACCCATAATACTTGGTCGCGAGCTATTCGTTTAGTGGCGGTCCAATGCTAGCTCTTCACTCAATGACAATTGACCGTGAGCTATCCGCTAAATGAGAGTTAGTCGCGGGGTAGCCGCCTAGTGACAGTGCGACTCACGCTCTTCGCCAAAAGACAGTTCGTTCTTGGTATCTCACTCAACAACAATTGCTCACAAGCTATTTGCCTCATGACAATTGGTCGCGAGCTCTTCGCCTCATGGCAGTTCTTCGCCCTGTGCTTCTTGCCGCATGACAGTTCATTGGGAGCTCTTCGTCACACGAACTAATCATGATGGACAATTTCTCGTGGATTCTTCACGGTACAAACAACCTACCACGGACTCCATGTTGCACGGGTAATTCGTCGGGAACGATCCACAGTGAGCGTTTCGTAGAATGAATAATTCTATGCTGACCATTCTTTGCGTGATCTTCGTCATATGAATAGGTCGCTACGGTCCTTCCTCTTAGGATTCATTTGCTGCGAACTATTCGTCGCGGACAATTGTCACAGGATCATAATCGAATTGTAAAAATATTCGGAGACGAATCGTCTGGTGGGCTTGTTATTCACGGCTCACTTTCCTTGTGGTTAGCGCCCTGGGAGCTGATATGCCCCTTATCCACTCTTGAAGTGGAGATGGCTAATGCATCACAGGTCTATAAGACATACACAAAATTATCCAGTGAAGAGCGTTGTCCCGCCGCGAACCACTCGATCGACACATTGTTTGTGAAGACTTGCGCTGCTGTTTCAAATAGAGCCAGAGTCCTCAGTCGTATTTTTAGAATGTTGTAGCGACTTTATGTCGAAGGAGAGGCCTCAAATGCGTAGAACTTCTGTCGTCTCTTTTTAACTTGGATAAAACCTGTGTAGAAAGAACTACAGAAGACTACTAGAGAATATCAATTATGAAAATTCTCGGTCGTTTCTCTCGCAACATTGTACCTGTTTTATTGTGATCTAATATGTATAAATTTGATGTGTATTCGCGCATGTCGATTGAGAAAAGGTTCTTTTCGAAGAAGTGTAGTGTTCAAGTAGAAAAAGAAAATAGAATTGAAATGAACTTCATGTTTAGATTTTACGCAATTTAATAATACAGATAATCTCTTCAGCTGAAGAAATTGCAAGAGTTTAATATGCAAGAACGATCCGTGAGAAAATAGAACAGTAAAATGAAGAGAAAATATTTTCGAAACTACCAACCATGGATACATATAAAGCGGCTATTGCATCACGTGAAACTGATCTCTTTCATCATACTCACTATAATATCGAACAAGTATTACAGATAATAGAAGAACAAATGAAAACGATAGGCAATGAGCTGTAAAATGACTTCTGAAAAACAAGTTAATTGCATGCAATAGTATTTCTTATGTTTATTTGGTATTAGACTTCTATCTTTAGCAACCTATTTCAGATAGAAAATTGGACAAGAAAAAAATGTCATCTTCAACAAAAATCGGAAATATCAGCGAAAGTGATAAACTTTCTATTATATATGGATTGTGAGGATATTGATTTTAATCGAACAGAACAGATTACCTCTTGGTTAACGAATAATGAACAACAGGAATATCAATCGAAAACATTACCAGATAAAAATAATGGACGATTTGCTTATTTACCATTATTTCCAACAAAATCGGTCGGTATAGATGATTGTTTACTTTTGACTAATGTGCCAGGTTCGTATTTTAACGTGTATCCACAAGAAATAATTTTATTTGTATGTTTGCTAACCATTTCTAGTGACTCGTCTTTTACCTCATGAAATTACTCGTCGACAACATAGAGCATACGCGGCAGATGCACTCATACTGGTGAATACGTACAACTATTTTGATACATTTAGTTTGTCTGAAGAGGACGCTCAAGAATTAACTGCACGATTACAAGTCGGCAAATCCATCATTACTTTCAATGCTGATCGACTTCGTGGCATTTGTTGTACTCTTTTGACATTACATGAATCATTTCGACGAAAGATTTTATTGAAGAAAGATGTTGCCTTGAAAAAACCAACACTCAATTCAAAACAAATGGCTCTAGTATTAGAATTCTATTTACAAATCGATGGTCAGTTTTCATACGCACATATCATCTCTCGATTTTATACCTATTTCTATTTTTGCAGTGGATCTATTCCATATGAAAACTTGTTCGTTTCGAGAAGCTGTACCTCGATCTAGAAGCGAAGGTCTTTTCTGTGGAAAAGATGAACATCAAGCAAGATATTCAGTACTTCTATGTGGCAATCTATTCTGTTTATGTTGTTATCCTATCAATAGGTACAAGAAAAGAGAAGCGTGGCCTGTTGTAGATTTTACTTCCAGTTCCATGCATCAATTTGTTAATGGATATACGACTTATCTCAATTGTCCAGCAGTAGATTGTTATTGTATATACATATAATTTTTATCAATGAAGTCTTTTGTTGAAATTTAGACATGTACCAGATCGAATATAGTCTATGCTATGACATGTCCATGTGGCTATTATGATTATATTAATTCAACAGCAAAAACATTGACTGATGCAATGGCATGTAAGTATCAATCTCTTTAGACATATAATCTGTTTTCTAAATTCAGTTTTTCTTCTGATAAGACAGATCATCGGAAACATGGCAATCGTATTATCCATGAAAAATTAACGGGTAGTGCACTCTTTCGAGGTTCATTACTCGATCCAGAGGAACAAGAGTAATAAAAAAAAAATATATATATATATATAATCAATCTATTTCATTAGGTCATAGTTTTCTTTTTCAATCCTTTTAGAAAAGATATGGCTAATAAGATGCGTCTCTATCAACATTCAGCGCGATGTCCAGTAGCACTTCGTGCATTTCTAGATTGCAATCCAATCTATTGGTGTTTTATTCCTCTATATTGGAAAGATGCACTATCAGACAATACGACTTATTACCGAGGACCTACTATGAGAGATCCTATACTGGCAAATGTAGTGGCCACAACTGCTATACATAGCCATCGCTTGGCTCAATATCTCGATCGTGTACCTTTACCACCAGCTGCCTATGTCTTTTCATATCGACAACTACAAAAACAACGTATATTTTTCGAACGTTTTGTCAATTCTTCTATTCACGAATTACCCTATGCTGTATTGGATTTATATAAAATGGCGATTATTACGATTCGTAAGTGAATTCCTCTCTTGTTAGATTTTTATTCTATTTTTCTCTTGTTTTCATGGATCTAGTACCTGATGATCATTCTATTCTATTACGTTATATTATTGAAACATTGTTTATTATACATGATGAAACTAAATTAAATATGATTTGTCCAATTGGTAGCGATGTTGAGCGACGTTATGGTCCTCCATACAATTCTGTTTGGTGTGCTAATTTGAATTATTCATCGATATGAACTAGAACATTGACTCAATAAAATTCTCAAAATATGAAATGATCACCTTTATAAATAAATTTTCATTCAATCTAAACTATATGAACTAACGAGTAGAAAATAGTAATGCTTTCGTATTTGTGTTGACCTTTCTTTTTTGTAGTTAATTTATCACACCCATTCGTCTTTCTTTGTCTTGTTCTTACATTTTCATTTTGCATTTCTTTTATTGATTTAGTCTTTGCTAAATTGAATATACTTATGAGAAGTAGTTTCTATTCATATTAATCAAGATAATGTTATGATTTTAGATAAAAAGTATTGAAAAACAAAAAAGAAATTTGAAATGCTCTACAATTTCTTCTTCTATATGTGCCTCATTTTATCAGGCATTTTTGAAAATTGCAATGGATTACCTCTTCAAATAAATTATACACAAGAAATGACTACATCGAATGTATTGAATGATTCAATGAATTTATTTCAAAGACATATGGCTTTACAAGAAATGAAAAAGTTATTCAAACCATATACGCGTACAATCTTTTCGCAAGACAACAATACTAAACCAAAACCATCTGACATATATGTATTACGAAAAATCATCCGCGACTACCATACCATGTTTGATACTTTACTAAAGAATTCTACGAATAAGACACCTATGAGAGAAGATGTTCATCATGATTATTTGAATA